ATAATGTTCTTCCTCTACACCCCCCCACAATTTTTGCACATGTCGAGGAGCGTGTCAGGCTACATTTCACTGTGTGTTATACTTATATAACTATGCATGTGACAAATAAAGAACCTTGAACCTTGAACCATATCACCCTATTAGAGCACTTCGCTCTCGCTCTGCAGGCCTACTTGTTGTTCCTAGAGTATTTAAAAGTAGAATGGGAGGGAGAGCCTTCAGTTTTCAGGCCCCTCTTCTGTGGAACCAGCTTCCAGTGTTGATTCGGGAGACAGACACTATCTCTACTTTTAAGATTAGGCTTCAAACTTTCCTTTTTGCTAAAGCATATAGTTAGGGCTGGACCAGGTGACCCTGACTCCTCCCTTAGTTATGCTGCAATAGACGTAGACTGCCGGGGGATTCCCATGATGCATTGAGTTTTTCCTTTCCAGTCACCTTTCTCACTCACTATGTGTTAATAGACCTCTCTGCATTGAATCATATCTGTTATTAACCTCTGTCTCTCTTCCACAGCATGTCTTTATCCTGTCTTCCTTCTCTCACCCCAACCGGTCGCAGCAGATGGCCCCGCCCCTCCCTGAGCCTGGTTCTGCCGGAGGGTTCTTCCTGTTAAAAGGGAGTTTTTCCTTCCCACTGTTGCCAAAGTGCTTGCTCATAGGGGGTCATATGATTGTTGGGTTTTTCTCTGTATCTATGAAGCGCCTTGAGGCGACTTTTGTTGTGATTTGGCGCTATATAAATAAAATTGAATTGAATTGAAACATTTTCTACATACACAAAGGACCCATTACTATCAAATATTGTTCACAAATCTGTCTAAATCTGTGTCGGTGAGAACTTCTCCTTTGCCAAGATAATCCATCCCACCTCAAAGGTGTGGCATGTCAAGGTGCTGATCAGACAGCATGAATATCTCACAGGTGTGCCTTAGACTGCCCACAATAAAAGGCCACTCTAAAATATGCAGTTTGATCACACAGCACAATGCTACACATGTCACAAAACCAGTCAGTATCTGGTGTGGCCACCCTTTGCCTTACGCAGTGCAACACATCTCCATTGCATAGAGCTGATCAGGTTGTTGATTGTGGGCTGTGGAATGCTGGTCCACTCCTCTTCAATACTTGTGCAAATTTGCTGAATATTGGCAGGAACTGGAACGTGCTGTCATATACGGCAAGCCGAGCATCCCAAACATACTCAATGGGTGACATGTCTGCTGCCATGCAAGAACTGGGATGTTTTCAGCTTCCAGGAATTGTGTACAGATTCTTGCAATATGAGGCCGTGCGTTATCATCCTGGAACATGAGGTTATGGTCGTGGATAAATGGCACAACAATGGTCCTCAGGATCTCAACACGGTATCTCTATGCATTCAAAATGCCAACAATAAAATGGACTCGTGTTCATTGTCCATAACCCACCATGGGCCACTCAATCCACAACGTTGACGTCAGCAAACCACACGACGCGACACAAGCTGTCTGCCATCTGCCCTGAACAGTAAAAACATCTGTCAACGTGCCAAACACCATCGAATGTGAGCATTTGTCCACTCAAGTTGGTTACGACAACAAACTGCAGTCAGGTCCAGACCCCGAGTAGGATGCCGAGCATGCAGATGAGCCTCCCTGACACGGTTTCTGACAGTCTTTGCAGAAATTCTTTGGTTATGGAAACCAATTGTTGCTGCAGCTTTCTGGGTGGCTGGTCTCCACCTGGTCGACCATCCTGGAGGTGAACATGCTGATGTGGAGATCCTGGGCTGGTGTGGTTACATGTGGTCTGCGATTGTGCGGCCGGTTGGATGTACAGCCAAATTCTCTAAAATGCCTTTGAAGACAGCTTATGGCAGAGAAATAAACATTCATTTCACAGGCAACAGTTCTGGTAGACATTCCTGCAGTCAGCATGCCAACTGCACGCTCCCTCAAAAGCTGCGACATGTGTAGCATTGTGCTGTGTGATCAAACTGCATATTTTAGAGTGGCCTTTTATTGTGGGCAGTCTAAGGCACATCTGTGAGATATTCATGCTGTCTGATCAGCACCTTGACATGCCACACCTGTGAAGTGGGATGGATTATCTCGGCAAAAGAGAAGTTCTCACTAACACAGATTTAGACAGATTTGTCAACAATATTTGATAGTAATGGGTCCTTTGTGTATGTAGAAAATGTTTCAGATCTTTAAGTTCAGCTCATGGAAAATGGGAGCAAAAACAAAAGTGTTGCGTTTATATTTTTGTTCAGTGTAAATTGCAAATTGATTTTACACACATGCCAGCACAAGGAAGCATCAAGTACTTACTGGTAATAGTGGATCAATTTAGCAAATGGGTAGAGGTGTACCCAACATCAAAAGAAACTGCAGAAATAGTCTGCCAAAAGCTGTGCAATGAAATAATACCCAGATTCGGAATACCTCACCAATTAACAGTGACAGAGGACCTTCTTTTACATCGGAAGTAATCCAAAAGTGTGCAAAAACTCTAGGAATAGACTGGAAATATCACGTGCCCTACCACCCCCAGAGTTCAGGAGTTGTAGAAAGAATGAATAGGACCATAAAAGATCGCCTGACTAAAGCAATGGTAGAAACAGGGATGACCTGGGTCAAGCTACTCCCTCAAGTCCTCTGCAAGATTAGAATGACTCCATCCACTCCATCAATACAAATTTCATCTTTTTCACCAGTTTTCAGCAGAATTTTCAGTTTTTTCACCACTTTTCAGTACAAATCCAAGCTTTTTCAGCTTTTTTCAGCAAAAACCTCTTTTCAACAGAATTCTGCTCATTGAACTCTTTTCAGCACAAATACCAGCTTTTCAGCTCTTTTCAGCAAAAACCTCTTTTCAGCAGAAATTCTGCTAATTGAACTCTTTTCAGCAGATATTGTGCTGATGGAACTCTTTTCAGCAGAAATTCTGCTGATGGAACTCTTTTCAGCAGAAGTTCTGCTGATTCACCTCTTTTCTGTAAACTTTTTAGCCTTTTCACCTCTTATCAGCACAATTCTCAGCAACTTCTGCTAATTTCACCAGAATTGTCAGTCTCTCCACCTCTTCTTTGTGCGAATGAGTTTGGTGCAGTGAGGTGAGACACTGCCTTTAGACCAGAAGGGCCAGGTTCGAATCCTGCTCAGGGCAACCTTTTTTTTCAACTTTCAACCTTTTCAGCTTTTTTCAGCAGAAATCTTCAGCGTAAGGCATCCACACAGCATTTTCGCAGGAAATGCAAATTTTTCTAGTTTACCTGGATCTTTGTTTAAAAATGTGTTCCAGTCTATTGGTCCCTGTGTGCTTACAATTATCAATACCTCACTGGTTTCTTGTCAGGTCCCTGTTTATTGTAAGAATGCTGTTATTCACCCACTGTTAAAAAAACCTAAGCTTGATGCTTCTCTTCTCAGTAGCTACAGACCGATTTCAAAATTACCGTTCATTGCTAAGATTTTAGAAAAGGTTGTGGCTAAGCAGCTTATAGCTGTTCTAGATGAATACAGCATTCTGGATTAATTCCAATCTGGCTTTCGTAGAGCTCACTCTACTGAAACTACACTTCTTAGAGTCTCCGACGACATTTTGATGAGATGTGATGCAGGAGAATGCTCCGGTCTGTTGATGTTGGACCTGACCTCCGCCTTTGATACTGTGGACCATCATATTCTGCTAGATAGGCTGAGACACTGGGTGGGTATATCAGGGGCTGCTTTGGACTGGTTTGAATCCTATTTGCATGAATGATCCTTTTCTGTGGCTACCTCTAAGTACAGTTCCTCTTCTACTTTTCTTGCCTACGGTGTGCCACAAGGTTCAGTTTTGGGGCCTTTATTGTTCTTGCTGTATTTACTTCCTCTTCAACACTTATTGAGCACTGTTAAGGACATTTCGTATCACTGCTATGCAGATGATATTCAGTTATATATCTCCTACAGCTACAGATTTTGCACAAGTGCATAGACTCCATTAGATGTTGGATAGCTGGAAACTTTCAACTAAATGAGGAGAAGACTGAAGTCCTTGTTTGTGCTCCTAAAAATTTTGTACCTAGTGTTATGGAAAACTTGGGTCCACTTGCTACATTTGCCAAACCGTCTATCAGGAACTTTGGTGTTACTATTGACTCAGCTCTGACTTTGGATACCCATGTAAAATCTCTGGTTCGCTCCTGTTTTTATCACTTGAGAAACGTTGCTAAGCTGAGTCCCATTGTATCTCGCTCCGAATTAGAAATTGTCATTCATGCATTTGTTTCATCTCGTCTGGATTATTGTAATTCTTTGTTTACTTGTTTATGTAAAGCCTCTTTGGAGTATCTGCAAGTTGTTCAGAACGCTGCTGCAAAGCTTCTGACCAAGTCCTCCAAGTACTCCCATGTCACACCCCTGCTGATTCAGCTGCACTGGCTCCCCGTTAAATTCAGAATCCACTTTAAGGTTTTGACCTTGACTTTCAGGGCTTTGCATGGACAAGCACCAACATATATAAGTGAACTTTTACATCCATACATTCCCAGCAGGTCCCTGAGGTCATGTGACCAGGGCTTGCGTGCTGTCCAAAACACAAGGCTGAAAACAAAAGGCGACAAAGCTTTTGGAACTGTGGCCCCCAGATTGTGGAACTCTCTCCCTTTGAGCCTGAGATCTGTGGACTCTGTGGTCGCTTTTAAAAAACAGCTAAAAACGCATCTTTTTAAACTTGCTTTTGGTTGATTTTTATTTTTAGGTTTTAGCTTCTGTGAAGCACTTTGTGATTTTTATCTTGAAAGGTGCTATATAAATAAAATTTTACTTCCTTTTTTACTTTACTTACAGCAATAGCACATCGAAGATGCTGAAGTTTCGACCACCCCAATCTTCTTATGAAGTGGTGTTGGAGATGCATTTCTGCCTGTGCATTGCTGATGCAGTTATAGTTATATTATAGTCAGGTATAGTTCTATTATTATGATGTTTAGGCTGTGTGCAGGCAGAAGTGGTGAATGGAGACAAAATGTGAACTCCAAAAAACAGCTTTATTGCTGAAATAAAAGTAAAAAACTTCAAAATATAAAGAATAAATTCAGGAAGGCAGGCAGACAAAAGACATCATGAATGAGGGCAGATCACGACACGGACACAGAGAAACACAGGGCTTAAATACACACAGGGAGCAATCAGGGAATCAGAGACAGGAGGGAAACACAGCTGGTGCAAATCAGGGCTAACGAAACAAGGGGAGCAAAACCTGATACATAAACACAAGACACGGACTTTCAAAGTAAAAGAGGACACATAAAACAGAGACCTAGACTTGACAAGGGGACTCAGCAGACAGAGGAGGCAGAGCAACTAAGAAACACAGACAGAAACCAGAACATCAACAAAGAAACCAAAAGACTAGAAATGATAATATCAAAATCAGAGTTCAATAATAAAGTAAACCCAAAACTCTGGGTCGACAACCCAGGTCTCCGAACAATTATAACTGATCGTCAAGGACCCCTAAAAAGGTTTGAAGTATTAAATAATGTGTTAAAAATGAATTCAGTTATAATAACCACCAACTTTAAGTCGGAATGTAGGAATTAAGTAGGAAAGTACTTGAAGGTACTTGAACATCAAGTGTTCAGTAGATGGTGGTACATGACTAGTTACAGCACAGCATAACTTCATCTGAGCCTGCATTTACAGACTCAGAGCATTTGGAAATCACATGCAATAAACCACATTACACATTGTTAAAAGAAAATTGTACATAGTGTGATCAGCTACATGAAATGTGCCCTTTTTAGGATCACTAAGCAAAACCACATGTCTACGTGACTTTTCATATAACAACTTTTGTGTGATAAACTTATTTTAGCAACTAACAGCTTCCTCTGTTCTGAGAACATACAGGTGCAGAAAAGGGGAACCTCAGCTCTGAGTTCTTGGAATAAGTTTGTTATCTTTGTACACACGTGTAACCAGCTTGTATAAATAAAGAACGCAGACAGTGACAGAGCGCGAGTCCGTGAGTGTCTCTCTGCGAGTACGAGCGCTCTGTGGCTGCCCTTGCAAGTAAATCAACTGCAGTGTTTGTGTTTTCTAACTCAGTTGTCTCAGCTGAAGAACTGTTTGGGAGATTCTTAGAAATATAAGATAAGATATGATAAGATAAGATAAAATGACCTTTATTAGTCACACAGGTGGGAAATTTGTTACTTTTGTAACTTTTGATTATTGCCATCCCGACCCAAAAAGGTTTAATATATATTTATTCACTTAAAAATCACAACTAAGACCTTTTTATTGTATCTTTGCTGTTTTCTTTAACACCACGCTCACTGTATTCATTAGCTTTTCCACCTGGTCTGAACTTGAGCTGCGGTTCTCAAAAACAACACACCTGTTGCCACACTTTTCAATGATTTTCTTCAGACCAGGATGACAGGAATGAAGAAAACCCTCCAGGCTCAATTCTGCCTCCTCCAGGTTGTCTCCTCGGGTGAACAGGATGACAGTTTGTTCTTTCACTTTGGTCCCAAAAGTCTTTTCTAACTTTTTCAGTATGTCTCTCTCACCATCTGTAAATCTGCTCACATGCATCACAAGCACAAACACACAGAGTTCTGACTCACAGAGCTCTTTGCACCTTTTTACATGTTTGTTCCGAACTGATGGTTCAGTTTCATCATCAAACATGTCTGGAGTATCAATCACACGCACATGTAAATCATTTATCTCAGTTTCTTCCGCCTGACACTCTGTGGTGACTGGATTTGAACTGGGTTTAGAAACAAAGTGCTTCTTTCGAAGGATGGTGTTTCCACTTGCACTCTTTCCAGTCCCGGCCAATCCCAGAAGAACGACGTTCACTGTGGTGTAAGTATGCTTTCCTGAAATGACGAAGACCAAGCGCAAATTGAACGAAATTTCAAACAGTTAATTTCTTTAAGTCAAAACAACTGCTGTTCTGGGTTGTAATGGGTTCTAAAAAGTGTTACCATATATTTGGTCTTCAATCCAGTTTAAATCTTTTCACTTTTACTGCCAAAACTGTTCAGATAATAGGATTTAAAGTTAGTTAGTTAACTCAGTAGTCTTAGCACGAGCTGAGTAATAATAGTTTTTTCTCAGTAATAGCAATTTTGTAATAAAATCACATTCAAAACACTTTTAAGCTGTGCCCTACAGACATTGTCTGTACTTATACATGTGGGTTTACATAGTATCTGTATTGGTTGAATATCCTCAAGAACTCTTTCTCTGTAACAGTAACCAATTACACACAGAACACACAGTGCTGGTAATACGGCGAGATGCTCCTTAAACAGATTGTAGCTCACCAATTCTGTCCAACTGATCTTCTGACTGAGGACTGGAGATTGACCTGTAATTCAGCAATCAGCTCATATTAACAAGTTTCATTTTTATTCAGTTAATTTTAGGTGTCGATTAATTAAATTTAATGATAACAAATTAATATGCTTTGTCATTTACCTGGTATAGGTTGTTTGTTTCAGCTCAATCACTTTGTCCAATTCATTAAAAAGCTGTTCCAGGGTGAAGGATTTAAATGGGAAATCTTTGGGTTCATATCCCAACGGCAGCACGACTTTAAACTCTTCTGTGGGTTTTCCTGTTTTCTCATTCAGAACATGTATCTGTTGCCATATCTGCTCGGTTGAAAATCCTTTTTTTACCACAAACAAACACATGTCAGGGTGTGGATTCTTGGATAAAAACTCTGAAATATCATCACATGGTGTCCCCAAATCTGGTGTGCATATGAACATAAATTTTTCCTCTTCATGAATCTCAGTGTTTTTTAGAATCTTTCTTTTGCTTATATCAGATAAATCTGTCCCCAGGATGACAGGTACTAGAGCTTTTTTCAAAGACTCTTCATTGCCCAAAATGACGATGGAAATCTTATCTTTGAGAAGAGAAAAAAAAATACAAATAATTAACACAATCAAGAAATAAAATTATTAGACAGACATATGTTTTTGGTTTCTGTTTTTCTCGTTTAAAGTACAATACACACAAAATGCATGAACACACACCTATCTAATAATCGAATAATATGTTTATGATATTTAGTATTCCTACATGATAGTCTAAATTCTTAAAGCTTTTGATATAATTACTTTCAATTCAATTCAACTCAGTTCAGTTCAATTTTATTTATATAGCACCATATCACATATGTTGCCTCAAGATGTTTGATCTTGTAAGTTAAAGACCCAACAACAATACAAAGAAAAGAGAGAAAATCCCCCAAATCATATGACCCCCTTTAACTCTTTGGCAACAGTGGGAAGGAAAAACTCTCTTTAACAGGAAGAAACCTTTCATATATCTATTCACCCTTTGATATAAATAATTGTTAACTTGCTAATTTTAAATATCCAAATAATGGATTTTGTTCTTTTTCCATTTAATTTTTTTGATCCTCTTTGAATTGAGCGATTATTGTTACCTACACACACACACACGCACACACATACACACACACACGTCTGATGTCAAACTGTCCTTGTGAAGTCATTTGTACCGTTACCACCTGCTAAATATTTTCTCCAAATTCTATTTTCAAAGATTCTCAATTTCCCGTTACAGCAATTTCTCCAGTGGAAACATTTAGCGCTCCTACATGTTGGGTCTTTACATGTAAGGTAAAGATTTTAGGTTTTTAGATATGGATATTAGGTTTGGTAGTAGACCAAGTCTGTGTGTGACTTGTGTTTTGTGTCGTACAGATAAGCATTCGTCTGATGGAATCGCAGGTTAGAACAATGTAGCTTTAACACTGAGATTTCCACAGTCAGCGTTTTTGAAGAGCAACGGTGAATGCATGTCATTCTAAAAGTACCGTAGCAAAGTTTAAGGCTATCATTTATTCAATGTTATGTGCCAACTAAGCAAACAGCAGCTGCTGCTACTCCCTCAACAGTCGATTGTCCTGTTTATTCTGGTTCATCCTGCACGCAAACATCACAAGACGCTCATTCTCGAGTTACTTAAAGTTTTGCGGGTGACAGTCTGTACTTCTGCGTGACAATGTATACATGTGTGGTCTGTTCATCAGGGATTCCCAAACGCTGACACTGTCTGCACCACAAATGGGTAAATGGCATCGCCTCAAAAAAGAGGACGTGGTTTAAATAAGTAAAGAAATGTTCAGGCCACAAATAACCACAACATAAACACTTGTTTGTTTAAAACTCAGATGTTAATCAAAAAGAAGAAAAATCTAAATACAAATAAAAGTTTTTGTTTTTGAACTGTACATTTGAAAATTATTGTTTTCCAGGGTGCAGCACCGTTGTTCTTTGAAGTCTCTCCCTCTTTCCTCCACCTTTAATCTTCTTGTGTTCTCCATTCGATCATCCAACTAAATAAATATCAGAGAAGCAGAACGACGTCCTGCAGGACCCTGCGTGTGCAATGCGCGTAGCTTTGAGCCCCAGAAACAATCAACAGATGCTGAAAGATGCTGATCGTATTGAGTTTCATGCAAACAACATGAGACACTCATTCTCCACTTAAAGTTTTGCATGTGACAGTTTGTTTCTGCGTGACAATGTATACACGTGTGGTCTGTTCATGAAGGATTCCCAAAAGCTGACACTGGTCATCGAAACAAGTTAATCTATCACTTTTTAAAAAAAGAGGAAATGGTTAAATGTATAAAGTGTTTAATATGATTAAATGTAAAATTTGAACTCTAAATTCGAGAAGCTATTTTAAAATCCAAAAAACCTATACTTGTGATTCTTGCTCTCCACAAATATTTTGAAATTCTCCATAATTAAAATCAGATATCCTCTGGTCTTCTCTGAATAAACCTTGATTTGATTTCTCAGCTACACATGTCCAAATTCAATCATTAGGATTTTCTTCTGTTCATTTGTCTTTACATTTCATTTCAGCACCGGTTCGAGCACCGTTTAAGCACCGGCACTGTTTCAAAAGTAACGGTTTGGTACTGGTAGCGGATAAAACCTAAACGATACCCATCCCTACTGGTCTTCACAAATTTACTAAGAGAAAATGATTTCTTATAAAAAGTACTTCCCCTTCTCTCTCCACCCATCTCTTCCAGTTCCTACACCTTTATTTCTTTTGTTCCTCAATTTTAGGCCCCCTCCTCAAAGAAAAGACAGAAAGAAAGCAGGACAAAGCATTCCACTAAACAACCAAAAAATGCTAAAAAAAAAGACATCACAGCAATAAAACTACAGATAAAATGTAAACTGACCTGGAAACAGGTAGAAGCGCTTTGTCAGAGTGTTTCTCTCCTTTGTTGGCATCTGCAGGTAGTCAGAGGAGGAAGATTCAAAGTGCTGCATGACCTGTGGGAGACATGTCACTTAATTTAAGAGACACAGGGTCACGATCCTGGGTCTTTTGACCCAGTGTTTTGAGTTTTAGTTTATTTTGATGTTTATGGTTCATGTTTAAGTTCATTAGGTCATTAAGTTCATTTTTTAATTCAATTTCCCTTGCGTTTTCAATCCCTGTGTTAAGCCTCCCTTGTCCTTTATGTGTTTCATGTCTGCGTTTCATTATGTTTCCTCTATTATTTCAAGAGGTTCCTATGTTCAATGTGTTTAGTTTTACTCTCCCCTTGTGACGTTCTTATGTTCATCTGTGTCAGCTGTTTCCCCATGTGTTTCCATGTCCCTCATTATCCTCCTGAGTGTATTTAGTTCGTGTGTTTTCAGTCATTCCTTGTCAGGTTGTCTGCTAGTCCACGTCGTGTCTCCAGGTATCCATGCCAGTTCTCCATGTTTAAGGTTTTTACATGTTTAATTTTAGTTCACCCAGTTTAGGTTTTTGTTTAGTTTCACACATGCCCTTTGTTTGTATCTATTTTTGCCAGCCTTAATAAACAGCTCATTTTTGTTAATCCACGTCACAGTTCACGTTCGTTTTGATCTGCATTTGAGTCCTTTTCACAATTCATACAGTCTGCCTCAGCCAGACTGTGACACACAGATTCATATTACAGAAAATATTACAGTCCTACAGAGATGCAGGCATTTTCCATTAAAGTGCTTATGACACTTTGTATATCTACTTCTGTTCCACAGTTAATATTATATTTTATTTTGTTATTGACTTTAACACTTTCAAGTGAAAGATGCTGAATCACTGAAAGAGATGTTTATGTTGTTTCCTACTTGTATCAATTTCAGAACCACATCCCTACTCGCCAGCCAGAGTGTGTGCCTAATGCATGCCAGTGATCAATACAATCTCATGTCTCTGACCGGGCATTCGGCGTTGAACCATGTTCCAGAGATGGTGGGTTGAAGTGTCTGCTATAACAAAAATGAATGTCCTGTCTGTATCTCAGCATACAAACAATTTTAATCTCTATTGAGAGATTTCCCCCAAAAAACAACTATAAGAGTTTACACTGTTTAAACTGTATTATGGCAAAAAGTCCCTGACTCCAGTTATCTGTGTCCTACAGTATGTACTGCAAATCAAATCTTCTAAACTCAAACAGATCTAATTAGTTTTATTATATCCAGTTCACTATTGAGAGGCTTGTTGACTTCATAGCTTGATACTTTACATTAGTATTTTATTTTACCACATTATATCATATATTTTATATATACACGTGGAGAAATCATTCTCTTGCGTATTATTTTCTGGTAAGTAATAGTTTGGTCACTAACCAAACAAAGTTTAACTTAAGGATCTTGCTGCCTTTATTAGTGAGAGATATTTGTCTCTGACTGTATTGGTTACTTTATCAGAAACGGAAACTTTTTTTGAAGTTCAGTGACATATTTAATGGATGACAAAGACATCTCCATGTTAATGACAGTGATCAAAGCCGTGATGTCTTTGTTGTGGATTATTATACAGCTGTCTATCAGATTACTATAGGGAACCACTTATTATTGGACAAATGATCCCAGTCACAGGTTTCATTTAAAGAAACAAAAGCTTCCAGTCATCAGACTTACTTTTCTGAACAGTTCTTCAATGTCATACTCGTGGCTCCATTTGTTGAACACATCAGCGAGTGTTTGGATAAAAAAAGAACCATCTGATGTTGATCTGTATGAAACTGTGTCTGCAAACAAACAGACAGTAACAGATTATTAACTGCAGTTTATTAAAACTTATTTGTCACAGGAAGCAGGAAAACTTACGAGGAGTGCTGGAATGAAAACAGATGAAGTCCTTTTCGATGTGAACTCTGACAGCTCTGGTAAAGTTTTCTGATAGAGCTCTGATATTATCTGTGTGCACAGGCTGTTGGAGAGGTAAATCCACCGATCCTCTCTCAGCTGAAGCAAGGAACACAGACTTGTGAAAGATGAAAAGTTGATCTTTTCATCTTCAGGGGGTCTGCATCCATATCAGCAGTTATGCTGGACAGTAAATATATGTATGTGTTGTATTGTGTATGTGAAGACAGATGAGAATTACCTCCTCTGCAGGCCTGAATGATGATGATCTTCGGTTTGTTCACCAGTGCTGGACAGTTCTTTGCGTTTAAGTGCTGAAAAATTTCCTCAGTTTTAAACGCCTTACTGTCAGTGCCAGAGATAATTCCCATGTCTCCATGAGACATAATGGTCACAAACACACTGTCTGTCTGGGTGAGCTTTTTATGCTGCGAGAACTGAGTAAGAGCATCGTCAATCTGCTGTGGGAACAAAATATCATCACGGGTTATTCAATCAATTTTAAAAACTGACAGTGAAAGTGAATAAACATTGTCTGCCAGTAAAAATTTACCTTTCCAGTCAAGTTATTATAACGTACCACCTGGTATCCCAGACTTTGGAGAAGATTGAACATGACCCGGTCATCTTTCTCAGCTCCATGTCTGTCCGAGCTGTCATTATGAAACTTTATATTATTGATCATCAGGGCGATGCGATTAGATTTGGATTGTTTAGTCACAGGGTATATCTGAAAGAGAAAATGGAATGGAATTTAACTGGCGATGGGAGCAAGACCACTCCAGTTACTCCTCATAACAAGTGTATAACTATAATATGACTTCCCACACTACAGGCTGTTTGTTCTCATTTTTCGAACGCCTGAACTTCACCCTGTGCACAAACCCTGAATTCTCTTCTTTCTTTTGTCACCTGCTCTCACCCATGTAATCTAAACCTTCTCATACCGACACAGTTTTTTTGGACAGCTCTATCAAAGCTGAACTACAGCTCTGATGACATCTCACCAGCTGGAATGGCATCACCTCTGTTTATGACAGTCAGCTGTAAACCCCCCCCCCCCAAAAAAAATAAAAATAAATAAAATAAATAATAATAATAATAATAATAATAATAATAATAATAATAATAATAATAATAATAATATGCTGCTCCTTCTGCCGGTTTTAGGGGTTGTTATGATCGAATTAATGATGTGCGGATGGATACTGAAATATCGATTTCTCCTATACCAATCATTTATGTTCTAGAATCGATTCTCACATTAAAATATTGATATTTTAGTACTTTGGGGTAAATTTGTAGTTTATCACTAACAGGAACACAGTGGAAAGAAACTATAACATTTGGATCGTCTACATTGGAAGAAACTACTTCCTCTTCCGCCTTTCATAGTCATGTGCGGAATACGGCTGTATCAGTGTCTCGCAGCCACTGGCGTGCGCACTCACAACAATGGCTGAGTTATGTGCAGACGTATTTTACATCCACAAACAGCCGTGGTTTGCGATACATGTGGCAAAAAAGTGAGGTGCTGTGGCAACACCACTAACCTCGTCAAACACCTCAGAGTAAATCATATCACAGGATATGATGAGCGTATGTTGAGGCGAACTGAAGAGGAGGAGTGGACAGGGACAGGTGTTGCTAGGGCGAGACAGACGTCTCTCACGGAGTCCTTAAGTGCTGCAGGCAGGCAAGCTGTTCAAATAGCGCACAACTTAAGGTTTTTTTTTATTTCATATGATGAATTCTGCATTATTAAGTGATAAGAACAAGTAATCTGATGTCCTGTAATCATAATGAAGCTAATTTGAGATACAATAAAAGATACAATAAATAAAATACGTTTTTGTACAGAGTATCGGTATCGGATCAGTATCGTCAGTAACCCTGAATATTACTTGGTATCAGATCGGAAAGGAAATCAGTGGTATCACACATCACTACTATGAATGAACTTTTACATTTAACCAGTACCTCTAAAAGTGTTTCCAGTCATCTTCAGCTATTTATAAAAATCTACAAAATCATTGCTTTTTTTTATTACAGAGACTTGACTGAAAATTGAAAATTTCAATTCTTATTCACTTAGAAATCCTTGCAGAATTTGATATAATTAAAAGAGCCAAAGAAACTCCCCATCCTTCATCTCCTTCATTCATAGTCGTAGATGACAGTCGGTCACTCACCAATCCTCACAGACCTGGGGTCCGTTCTTCGTACGTCGCTTACTACATCCAAGACCAAATCATCGCGCTAACTCTGAGCTCGCTATTCCGGTTCCCCGAACACACCTGTTGTTGACGATTAATATAGCTGGATGAAGTAATGTGAGATCACTGGGTGGCTTAACAGGGGCTACGCATCGATAGTAGAAACATTGATCGGCAACCCTTTGATTGGTCGGCGAAAATGTCGAAGGAGCGCGCTCGGCTCGGTATTTTTCGGCAGCAGAGCAAGAACTCTTGATTGAGGGATTTCAGGAGTTTCAGAGTTTAATCAGAACGCAAGAGAACACTGCAAAGGCTGCAAAAGCAAGGAGAGAGGGCTGGCAGAAAGTTGCTGACAAATTAAACTCGTAAGTAATTTAATAATAACAATAATAATGGATTGAATTTATATAGCGCTTTTCAAGGCACCCAAAGCGCTTTACAATGCCACTATTCAGTCACTCTCACATTCACACACTGGTGGAGGCAGCTACGGTTGTAGCCACAGCTGCCCTGGGGCAGACTGACAGAAGCCAGGCTGCCATATCGCGCCATCGGCCCCTCTGGCCAACACCAGTAGGTGGTAGGGTAGATTTATTATATTACACTATATTATCCAATATTATATTATATTATATTATAATATGTTATATTTTATCCTCTTTCACATTAGAGCCACAACAGGACCCACTAGAACATGGGAACAAGTAAAAGTGAAATATAAGAATATTCTACAGAATGGTAATATTTATCACTTATATTGCTTTTCGTCTCTTGCAAAGAGACCCTGAAATAATCTGTTTGTTTGTTCATAACAGCAACCCATAAAAGGGCAGAGCAAAAAAAGACAGGTGGAGGTCCTGCACCCCCTCGTCAACAAGTTGGTTAAGTAAATAATACCCTCACGGGAAAATGGATATCTCTCTATGAGCACACTGTCGCGCTGAGCTAAAGGATCCTGTCTATCCCGCAATATACGCTGAATTCTGAGGACTCTCCTTATCAATCTTGCACCTTCCACAATGGGTGGCTCGCGTAAACGGACAGGACATGGCTGCGACAGGCTTCCCAAATCCACCTTCGCTTTTATAGCCGTGGTCTCTCATCTTGATTACACAAAGTAATTTACTATTACTACTCTGAAATATGAATTACATCTGTAATAATTACATACATGTAATAGAAAGATTAATAGTACATTTCCCTTTTTTTACGAAATGACCTGTATGTATCTGTGTGACATCAATAAAAGGATCAAGTGCTGCATTATCTTTAGTTACATTGATGTTATTTATTTATGGTGAAACAGTGGTAAAATGTCGCTGTTGCTTTCGTATAAATGAAGCGGACATACCTGAGTGGCCACGATCTAATCCTGTTTACATAAAGTAAGCCTGCTCCCGAGCAGGTTTACGCTTACGGCTCTGTTGCTATGGCAGCAAGTCCCGGATGAGCTTCCGAGAACCGAACGATCCGGGATCACGCGAAATCGTCAACAATCACATCCAGCTAACTTACTTAGCGAGGTACGAAGAACGGACCCCAGGACACAATCCAAGCCACCACAATACTGTTCCTGACTCTTTGTCTCGTCTCCACACATTCAGAACCTTGGTTCCTCATGCAGAGGCAGATTTTACAACAGTAGCTCCATTTTCAGCAACATCATATTTAAACAAATTTAAAGCCCAGCATCAACCCATCTCAAGAAGCCATCATTAACAGCCCTGGTACCAGCACCCTGACCACTTGGAATTCATTTTGTTCCATGGATTACCACTTCAAACTACACCTCCCATCCAATCAGTGCTCTTTTTATCAAAATCCCCGCAATTAAATCTCATTTTAGCAGCATCAGTTATTAGTGGTGCAATGGATCAAAAATCTCACGGTTCAGATCGGATCACGGTTTTAAATCACAGATCGGATCAATTTTTGGATCAGCAAAAACAGAAAAAAAGACATAAATTTGACTCGCCATTTACTTATTTAAGTATTTTTTGCCTATTTAAAATCATTCAACTGAAGACTCATTCCACGCACTTATATAAAAACAAATTAAGGTGCAATATGGACATTATGGACCAGGCTGGGCAGCCTCTGCATCCTCTGCACACGGCCATAAACAACCAGAGGAGTCAGTGACAGGTTGCTTCTCCCAAAGTCAAGGACCAGCAGACTTAAAAAGTCCCACACGCCATCAAACTGTTTAACTCCTCGGGGGGGAAACGGGGACAAAGAAGGGGGGAACAAGTAAGCTGTAGTGCCTTTTCACTGTGCAATAGTTTTTGTTAATATCCAACGGTGTAATAGACTCACAATAATGTGCCGTTCCCTTGTATTCTTATTTCTATTTATTATATTTATCCCTTTTGTATTCTCTGTATTTATATATGTGTAAATATGGTATATTTCTGCTCACATTCGGCAACTTCTGTCGGTGCTGTGCTATTGGAAACTGAATTTCCCGGAGGAACCCACCCGAGGGATAAATAAAGTTTCATCTAATCCAATGTAATCTATAGGGCAGTGCAGGGCTTTGTACCACTCCGCTCTGATATAACGAGCGGTCATGGTCACGTGGCTTTCCGTTGCCCTGGAGGTCCACCCATTTGTAGTTATAGCAACAGAAGATGCCTGGGACAGTTCAGCCATGACTTTAAACTTCTCCTGCTCATACATGCTTGGAACCATCTTGTCACTGAAGTGGACGCACAACGAGATATCATAGCGTGGCTCAAGCACGTTCATCACAGTTTAAACCGCTTGTTTTGCACAACGGAATACGGCCTCCCGTCTGCAGCTAAACACCCCAATAGCTTTAGTAATAGCTTTAGCCCGGTCGGATCGGGCAGCAAAAGGCTGCTTAAATCCTCTGCTCCGCCACTTGGACCGCTAGCGCTGACCATAACTATCGCTTGACAGACCAATCACGCGCACCATACAAATACTTTTTTTTTCTTTTTCGAATCTTCGGATCACGTGCGTACCAAACCGTGGAGTGGGATCGGCTGAGGCCTTCCCCCGGCTACACCCTCAGGCCTAGATCTATGCTTATTCTATCTGCCACTCAAGAAATGTTGCCTAGAAAAAAATTACATAATTGAGAAAGTGACCACATCTTTAAAAAATTGACGATGTTGCTGAAAAACTGTCAGCTACAATAGGCCACTACTAATTACTGATTTACATTAAATGCAGAATGTTGAGAGGACAGCGTCTCTCAGTGAACATGATTTATATAAGAATTATACAGTGACATACGTTTTTTGCCCACTCGTCATCTCTGCATGTCGCCATCTTTAACCTACAAACGGATCAGAGAACAGTTTCAGTAAATCAAAAGAAAAAGGATTTTGGGGTGGTAGTATCCAAAGGCCCTAATGAAGAGGTAGGAAAAGAAACAGAACACACCAGCTTCACACTGTACTGTGAAAAAATGTGGAAAGACGAATCTACTTCGAGGGAGGTCTCACTCCCACTGGCTCGTCCTTCTGTCGCCAAATCCAGCAACTAAAAAGATGAAATAAGAAAATTACTCAAGCGCTTCACAGATATGGATACTCAGTCATAACTGTAAAGTAAAATGCTCAACAATCATACATCATATAAAAACACTCAAATTCAGTACAATTCAATATTAAATTTTATTTACAAAGCGCCAAATAACATTAACAGTGCTTTATGTTGTAAAGACTCTACAATAATACAAAGAATATTTTTTTATTTTATGATAAATACATGTATACAAACATATCCACTAAAAGACTAAAATAAAAACACACAAGCCAAACAGCATTAGCCAGTCAAAGTAAGGCTGCCACCTGAGCTGTACAGTACCAGTTTCACCCAAAGGACAATTCCCGGCAAACATCCCACACCTAGTTACTCAAGTCAGGCAACTTTTAAGCAGACAGTTCAGTGAGCCGTCCTAGCAGATGTAGCAGAACTTGGAGAACAGCAGCTTTTTGATGCTAAAAGATAATTTTGCGCTGGTGTAGGCAAAGTCCTGCAAATATATCCGTCTGCATTGGATTTGGTGAAAACACTGGGTGAAACGAAAATAAACGAATAACGTAAAAACTAGACGCAGTTACTATCCCTCCACTTAGAGAGACAGAGGCGTCAGAGTGAACTTCGGACGTGGCTTCTACATTTAACACAGACGCTGTCACAAACAAATCCGGACGTCGGTGTTGAAAAAAATAAAAAATAAAAAAAAATAAAAAAATAAAAAAAGAAAAAAATAAATAAATAAATAAATAAATATATATATATATATATATATATATATATATATATATATATATATATGGACAGATGGCCCCAACTGACCGAGTGCTCAGTGAATACCTCAGGCAGCAGAAACCCAAGAAAGAGGAGGGAGACGAGGAACCATCATGGAAGGACAGGCCCCTGCACGGTATGTACCACCGGCAGATAGAGGAGGTGGCTGATATCCAGAAGTCCTACCAGTGGCTGGACAAAGCTGGACTGAAAGACAGCACAGAGGCACTAATCATGGCAGCACAAGAACAAGCTCTGAGCACAAGATCCATAGAGGCTGGGGTCTATCACACCAGGCAAGACCCCAGGTGCAGGCTGTGTAAAGATGCCCCAGAGACAATCCAGCACATAACAGCAGGGTGCAAGATGCTAGCAGGCAAGGCATACATGGAACGCCATAACCAAGTGGCCGGCATAGTGTACAGGAACATCTGTGCCGAGTATAACCTGGAAGTCCCGAGGTCAAAATGGGAGATGCCCCCAAGGGTGGTGGAGAATGACCGAGCTAAGATCCTGTGGGACTTCCAGATACAGACGGACAAAATGGTGGTGGCTAACCAACCGGACATAGTGGTGGTAGACAAACAGAAGAAGACGGCCGTAGTGATCGATGTAGCGGTTCCGAATGACAGCAATATCAGGAAGAAGGAACACGAGAAGCTGGAGAAATACCAAGGGCTCAGAGAAGAGCTCGAGAGGATGTGGAGGGTGAAGGTAACGGTGGTCCCCGTGGTAATCGGAGCACTAGGTGCGGTGACTCCCAAGCTAGGCGAGTGGCTCCAGCAGATCCCGGGAACAACATCGGAGATCTCTGTCCAGAAGAGCGCAGTCCTGGGAACAGCTAAGATACTGCGCAGGACCCTCAAGCTCCCAGGCCTCTGGTAGAGGACCCGAGCTTGAAGGATAAACCGCCCGCAGGGGCGTGCTGGGTGTTTTTATATATATGTATATATATACATATAAAATTACATTTATGTTTGCTGTATGCACTTTGTTCGTTCCTAAGTTGTGAGTCTACACAACAGCCAAATTACTGACTTTAGTTATCAACGTTTGAAATGATGAAAGGACTTGAAAAGTTACCCACAATTAGCTGGCTGTCCAGATAAACACAAAACACTTCAGAAGTACTTATACATAAAGTCCTGTTTACTCGTTCCCTGCCAGGAATATAGACTCCTGATTGGCCAGCATTTCTACACGGTTAGGATTTGACATGTTCTCGACTGCGTTTTTTGTGATTTACATGTAGACGGAGATATTTGTTCAAAACTGCACGTGCAGACGGGTTTTTTTTAAACAAAAATGTAAAATTTCCGTTTTTAAAAATACCCGTGTATGTTTGGACGTAGCCTTAAACTTCCTGCATGAAACACGCCTGCTGTTAAAGTTTCAACGAACTGACTGTGAATATTTTTACTTCCTGTCTTGGAGGGGTGTCTGAGCGATGCTCGGGTGCCTCTCGTTCAGACCCAACATTTTTCATTTCAACCAGGTGCACATGATCTGGCCGACTGTTAGACAGTAGGAAAAAAAAAACCTTATAAAAAACCCAAAGATAAAACTTATCTGCTCTGAAGTCAAAGTTAACAGAACATGACGTGTTCTCTTCCGCTATGACATCCATTGACACAATCATTTAAAACTGAAAGTGAAAGAACATTTAAAGAAAATAATTTCTGATCATAAAGTGTAATTATTAACTGTTTGTACAAGACAACAAACTCAGGGCATGTCAGTTTGGACCCGTTTATGAACACACTCATACTGAGGAGGCTTTTACACGTTTCTATTTTGTTTGTTCTCCTGTTGAAGCTGCCAGCTGTTAGGAGCCACAAAGTATCTTTTTATCTGCTTTGAAACCACGTTTTTATTTCTAACCTGTTAGATTTTATTTATTTGTTTTTTCTCTACACACTTCAGCCTGAACCTTCAACTATCACAATTATAAACGCAAGTGCTTTTGCTTTCCAAAACCATCGGCGCTCGCTTGTGAGGATAATTTGCTGCTCAAGGAAGAAAACCAAAACATCACCGACCTTAAAGATGACATCCAAAAACTCTCTGATGAGCTGAAGAAGAAAGTCTCACTTATCCAATTTCACTGACCAGCGCCCTGACTGCACAATCTTAACATGCTCAGTTCAGCTCTATAGCAAACAGATGTGCCACCTGACCTCGGAGCTCCTCCCCATCAGTCATCCCCGGCGTTTGTTTATTTTTTTAAGTTTGTTCTCATCCATCAGTCACCGAGTGTTCATAAATGACAATGAGGTGTACAACGAGTGCTGATATGATTTTATTACGTGTTTTCATCTTTATTGTGCTACCTAAAGTTGGTGTGCGAAGGTCTGCGTGGTATTAAAACAATGCTATTACAGAAATATTAGCTCCTGACATGGCTGGTTGGAAATTGAATTACTGGTTAAATATTCCCAATAAATATCCCGATATAGTTCTACTAGTTCCAGAGCTTCATTTAAACTGTACGATACTTATACTGACCCGGGTCAATGTAAAATAAAATTCTACCTGTCTGAACAAAGTCTGGATTCTTAAATCTTGCAGGACTAAAGGAGCCAGGATTTAATCATAAGGATTAAACGGAGTAAACTAGAAGCTTATACGTTTACTGTCAGACTCTGGGAAATGTTGTCAGTGATCAGTGACTCAGGTTAAAACTAAACATTTGGTGTCTTCAACTTTGAAGAGATGAAAAACAAAACCCAAAGTACAAATGTTAAAAATGCCAATATTTTTTAGTCAGGTGTGGGAAAGATAATTAAGGGTACACACCATTCAGGACCATTACATTAATGTTGTGAGTATATGATTTAATCCCTGGCCAAACCTGTCATACTTAACTTACTGGACCAGCCGCATTAGCCTTTTGTGAGGTCCGTTTAATAAAGGGGACTCAAATGAACTGCAGCTCCCTGAGAAGTGGACTGTGGGCACAGAAACACATGTTCATTCATACAGCTGTAGCAAGCTGGCAGTCATTTTAAATAGATTTGTAACTCTGATGTCTGTCTCTCTGTTAGTCCTCACACTGGTGATCTGTCCAGGTGTGCTCTGCCTATGACTACTGGGACAGTGGCTAGCTCATAAAACTTATTGTTTCAGCACAAAAGTGATAAACTTAAACTGATACAGGAAAATAAAGACACAAAACTAAAACTGAGTTATTGATTCTTTCTGTCAGCTTCCTGTTTATTTAATTTTGGTTGTATTTTGACGAAACACTTCCGTTAGGTTCATGTGGTGCAGCCTTCAACTAAAAGAGAGCAGTTTTGTATGATTCATATTTCATAACAATCTGTCCTCTTGCATTTGAAACAAACTGTTTTGTCCCATTCCACTTTAAGACTAGAGTCTTCTGATTGGCTGCTCCTAGGTTTGACGAAAAGGAACAAATTTCAAAATCAGAGTTGTGTGCTTTGACAATATTAGGGACTTCCCCTCTCTATGAGCTCATACAAAACAACAAAAAAATAAAACTGAAACTTAGTATGTAGAACAGTCTGGTGCCTGAGCTTCAGATAGGTGGGATTACTTGTACATGCTACACTGACCTCATACAAAAGCATCCACCAACCATATACATATAACAGAGTGATGCCACTACTACAGACATCAAATACTTTTGTTCTCATGTTCCCAAGGTCTGTAGCCTTGTTTATATTTTCTGTTCCTTTTCAGTTTCTACTTCTCCTTTAGGAAATAAAGTTCTTTAACTTTTATGTTCGCGACTTTAATTCCTACTTTGTCTTTATCATTGTTGTAATTCATTTGTTTTGTACTATTATTACATTTTAGTTTCTATTTTGACATGACTGCTCTTGCCTCCCAAGTGGTCCTCTCTATCTCGTTTAGTGTGAGTTTCTTGGGTTTGTGTTCAGTAATCATTTTTGGGTTGTTTCCTGTTTTGATCATTTTTCTCTGGCATCATGTTTTATGTATGACTTCCTTTTTGTCAGAATTTCTCAATTGTTTTGACCCGCGTTTCCTTTTTGTGTATGTTGATAAGTTATTGCGCAGATATACAGTCTTGATTGAATGTACTCTGTGTGCCACATGGACACACAATCAATCTGTGGGAACCAGAATGCCAGCTGGGTTATGGGAGATCAGATACTTATTTCACTCCGTGACATGCAAATATATATATAATTGTTC